GGAGGCTCTCCGGAGTGCTTTTCCAGTGTATGTTTCTTTCGAGAATTACAATAGAAATAAAATAAAAGTATTAGAACGTATTCAATCAGAATACGAGGCATATAATCAGGATTACAGTCTACAACTTAAAAAGAAAAAAGAAACACTTGCATATCTAGGCAATTTGAACAGGAAAAAATAACTAACTCGTTCAGTTATATTATATCAAGCAAGACTCTTTTATAGTTTACTCACTAGTATTATTAATTATTATTGAACGAGCTTTTCAGTTTGTACCAATAGAGTTACCCAAGATCTAGCCAAAAAAAAGGACTTACATGTCGTTTACATAATAGATTGCAAATGATAATTGTCGGTTAATGGATTATAAAGATGGGAATAAAGGGGAAAGTTTTTCTGGTTTCGTAAAGTTTTTGATGATGAATTCTTGATCAACTATTTGTACATATGATCCCAAATTTCATGCTAGCTAATTGATTTTTAAGGTCATTTATTTCACAATGACTTGATGAGAGGTCTAATCATGGCAGAATCCTTAACTTTTTAATTTACATGCTCAAACTAGGTTCTATAGACTTCTTCACTACTCGTATAGGCTTAATGGAGTTAACTGTTTATAAAAAAGCATAGTTGGCCTTCAATGTGAGCTGATTTTTTCATGCAAATCACATTGATGTGTTCAACTTTGTGAAAACTCAATAATACACAAGCCATTTTTTAGGATAAATATACAAGCCATTGCAAAAGCTTTGTTCAAATTAGCAGCTCAACTTCTTGAAGATAAAATAGGTAGGAAGTTCACAACATATGTACACTTCAGCTTGCATCTACTCTATGACAATTTCTGATAAACCTCCTCCAAAACTTGCTCCAAGGAGATTGTTCTTAGCACAACATTCTTTTCTGAAGCTGTCACAGCATCCACCAATATGTCTCTTCTCCAACGGCGAACAAACCTTACGGCCACTGCAGTCTAGATGATGATGATGGTTGTCCCGTAAGATATTGATGGTTGATCCAACGGTTGGACCACATTCTGCAGCATGCTTCCTGCAGCCAGAACGGACGTCGTGGCATGGTTTGTATTTGCAGCATCTTCTAACCAGCTTGGCTAGTTCTTCATCAGTTGGAATATTTTTAGAGTGAAATCCACAGTGATTTACCTGATCTTTTGGTTCATGTTTGCAGCTGCTGGGGATGACAATGCTCTGTTTTGTGCTGTCACAATGAGCAGTTTCTTGAATTTCACTTTTTGATACGTCGGCAATGTCATGGACTTGAACTGAAAAACAACAATCATCTGCTGCACAACTGTCATACGCCTTTTCTGGATGTGAGTGCTCGTGTTCCTTGTCCGAACAGCCATGACCGACAGCATGAGGTGATTTTATACCTTCTCCAACAACATCCAAGCTTTTCTGCTCCAAGTTGTTTTCCTTGTGGAGTGGATTATCATGCGAATGACAACCATGGATGCTTAGAGAGTCGAGGCTCTTATTATTTCCGCATGTCATTGATCCTGAAAATATCAGCCCTAATTAACCAGTAGTTTTTTATAGTTAACGACACATAACAATCAGCTAAACTTCTATCTCAAACTAGTTGGTGAGTAACATTATCCATCACTTTTTAGAGATTTGTGATGCATATGCTATCTTCTTATGAAGTTTGATCGAACGTTTATTGTAGGAGTGAAGGTGGAGTAACACTTTGGATCATATGATTTGGTAGTGCCTACCTGAAATTGCAGTTTGGCATGTTTGATTGGTGCTGTCACAATGAGCAGTTTCCTGGATTCCAGTTTCTGATACATCAGTTTTGTTGCCTTGAACCGAATAACAACATTCTTGTAAGGCACACCTATCATATGCCTTGTCTACATTTGGATGATCATGTTCCTTGTCAGAGCAGCCATGACTAAGATCATGACTTGATTCCTTATCTTTTCGGACTAAATCCAAGCTTTTCTGCTCCAAAAGCTTTTCCCCACAGAGTGGATTAGTAAGTGGTGAATGAAAACTGTTCTCGGTTGCAGAGTCTAGGCACTTCTTACTTCCGCATGACCTTGAACCTGAAAATCTCAAACCTACTCAGCAAATGATTCTCATTGTCTCTCCATTCACCTCAAGAAAAACTTTATTTGTTTCAAATCATGAATAAAAAATTGGCTGCTCTCCTCTAATGCAGCATGAAGAAGGGTCTGTGACAGCCTATATTTTCAGAGTTGTATATGATCTAAGAATTTTGTCACGATGCTAGAGATTTGCAATTCATAGACTACGTGATTTCAGGTTTAACTAACCATTATATCCTCCGACAGAAGGCCAAATAATACTTTGGATCCTATAGTTTGGTTCGGAGGGTTATTAACAAGAAGAGGAATCTGGCCATACCTGAATTAGCAGTTTTGCATGATGGACCAGACATCTTTGAAGAGCATGATTCAGAGTTGGTATGTGAATAACAAGAATTCTTGCTATTGGTGTCCGAGCACTTTGTATTTCCACATGTCCTGGAGCTTGAAGTTGCAGATTGGCTTTGTGGAGCACACAACTTAGACGTGCATATTTGATGATCGGGATGCGAGTGATGGCTAGTATTGTCTCTCGAGTCCGAACACTTGCTATCTCCACATGATTTAGACCCAGAAACTACAGATTGGCATCCAGGAGCAGACTTCTTGGTACAACACGTTTGAGGAACTTTGTCGGACTGACAACATTTTTTGTCACTGAAGTTGGAGCACTTGGTACTTCCACATGATTTGGCGCTTGAAGTGGCAGAATGACATTGTGGAGCAGACATCTTGGAAGAACATACTAGAGAGTTTGTTAAAGAATGACAACTACTCTTGTGAATGGAGTCTGAGCAATTGTTATTTCCACATGACTTTGATTCTGAAAGTGCAGATTGGCCTGCTTTAGCAGCCACCTTTGGCAAGCAGCATTGAGGATGGGGATGAGAATGAAAACCACTATTTTCAACGGAGTCTGGGCACTGATTACTTCCGCATGACTTTGATCCTGAAACTGCAGATTGGCATGCTTTAGCAGCAATCTTCGACGAGCAGCATTGAGGATGGGGATGAGAATGAAAACCACTATTTTCAACAGAGTCTGGGCACTGATTACTTCCGCATGACTTTGATCCTGAGGATACAGGTTGACATCTTGGAACACACACCTCGGACAAGCATGATTGACTTGTACATTTCTTTTGTGACTCAATATCAGAGCAACACTGCTGAGGAGCATTTTCCGACTTGCAACAAGAAGCTTTGTCTTTGTGGTGGTGAGCATGCGAAGAAGTAGAAGATGTACAACATTTTTTCCCATGTCTACGTGTGCCTCCTCGTAGAAGTAGCATGCTGTTCAAAATCACTAGCAAGCATGTCCCAGTATCCGCGAGGACAGCAGCCCAAACCAGTGGATAACCTGCTATTGCCAATGCAACTATGGCGGCCTTTGTAATGACTGACATAATCATATTCTCAATTATTTTCCTTCGAACTCTTCTTGCAAGACGTGCAGCTTTCGGTATTCTTCCGATGTCATTTGTCATTAGTATAACATGGCCTGTTTCTTTTGCCAGAGCTGATCCAGAGATGCCCATTGAGATGCCAATGTCAGCTGTTGCTAATGCAGGAGCATCATTAAGTCCGTCGCCTATCATTGCTGTTGGAGCTTCCTTCTGAAAAGCCTTAATGATTGTTGCCTTGTCCTCTGGTAGGAGTTCTGCTTGAAATTCATCCAAAGCTCCATCTAACTGCAAAATGTTTCAACTTACAATGCAGGAATAGATACTTGAAATTCAGATTCAGCTTTAAATTATCATGATAATCTCGACTCTCTATGCTAAACATCAAGCGTCACACGTACGTCTGATGTATCTTTCATATGCGAAAAATTGTACATCGTTAAGTCAGAAAATTGTCCAAATATTGGAGAAGAATAAAGCATTTCCTAAATTAATTGTGACGATAACTTGGTTTATCCAGATCAACCTTTAATCCTTTATCTTCACATCACATTAAGTATTTTATGCCCCATTCTGACCCCTGTAAAGACAAAGCACTTACTTGGTAATGCGTTCGCTAAATTTAGATGAAATATTTAACAAATGTTGATGATAGAAGAGGGAAGCAATAAGAGTTCAGTGAAAATTCTTAAGGCTAAACAACAATCCAAAGTGTTTTAATATACCTGATCCTGCACATGGTTGGCAGCTGCATAACAATCACCCGTAAGCATCGCGGTTTTGATACCCATCTGCTTCAGTTCTCTCATTGCTTCTTTTACACCAATTCGACAAACATCAGAAAGACTGAAAATTCCAGCTGGAGATGATCCCAAAAATATGTATCCAACAGACTTTCCTTGGAAACTATCACCCTCTATTTCCGGTACTGAAATTTAAACATCCACCTCATTAGTGCTAAACATGCCAGGGAAATTTTAACAGCAAAATTAACTGGAGAAATCACATACTTATAATTATAACTCTGGTGTTTTATCTCTATTATGAGCATAAGAAATGATTCAACCGTTTACCTGTAGTACATCCAGCTCTTGAAGAAATTTTCCTATTCCCGACATAGATTTCCATTCCATCAATTCTTCCATATATCCCTTCACCAGGAAAATTTTGAAACTGCTCAACTTTATCAGGCTTTGGCTCAACAGAATTTGATTGCGCATAGTCAACCAGAGCGGCTGCCATCGGATGACCTGACTTGCTCTCAATGCTTGAAATCCTGAAGATATTCACTAGAGAATTCAGTATATCCGGACGAAAGGTTTTGACCACCAAACAAGGCTTCTGCTCTGTGTCCCACGTGTTTTGTTTTGTAGCATCAAGAATATTTGAAGAATTTTAGATTATGATACATTGAATATGTTACTGAAATTCATATGACCATGCATTTTTATGTGTCCTTAATGTATAAGATCCAAATATTCCATCCAAGTTCCTGAATATCAGACACCAGACGTTTGTATCTATGTTATTCTGGCTCTATTGTGAACCATGAGAGCCATTTCAGACTCTATGCTACAAAATAATCATGTTATATCACTATCAAATGCGCCGTGAAAGATAATCAGTTAAGATTTTGAATTCTCTTTGGCAACATAAAAGATTATGTATGAGTGGTAGCCTTTACCAGTAAAGCAGTGTATTGAGACTAAGACCATCAATCAGAGACTTGAACTCGGTCACCATAAATTCTCCTTTGGTTATAGTCCCTGTTTTGTCAAAAGCCATGATTTTGATTTTAGCTAGAGTCTCAAGGTACTCTGTTCCTTTAAACAGAAGACCGGACGTTGCTGCTTTTGAAAGTGCACAACACATGGCAACTGGTGTAGATAGCACGAGTGCACACGGACATGCACTCACCAATGTGACCAAAGCCAAGCGATACCACTCATTTCGATTGTGAACTCTTAATGCAGTAGGAACTATTGCCAAAGAAGCTGATATAGCCACAACAGCTGCAAAACATCACCAGTCGAAATCAGACATACACAAAGAGCAGGAGAAGTATAAGAAATAAAAAGTTTTAAACGAAAGAGCAATATAGTAGTGCGACGCCCATGACTGCAGGCAGGCTGATGAGGGCGGGTCAAGTGAAAGGACTGATAAACTTCTATGCTGGCAAGCTTCCGAAGAAGGGGTTCATATGACACCTTAGGGAAATCTCATATAGAAAAGGGAGAGGATAGTGACGTGATTCATAAGACAGAGAACAAGTTCACACGGTACGTGCATTTTTTGACTCGATGTGGTACAACATAAGATTCACTAACCTGGTGTATAATATTTAGCACACTTGTCAATGTATCTTTGGGTTTTTGATTTCTTGTTCTGAGCATCTTCGACAAGCTGCGCCATCCTAGCCACAGCACAATCTTCAGCCAAAGCCGTAGTCTTAACACTGATATAGCCTGAAGAATTGAGAAAATAACATTAACAAACAATACTTGAAGTTTCAGCACTAAATAAATGAAACATGAAGAAATACTATACTACCATTTAGATTTGTAGTGCCAGCCCAGACCGTTGAATCTATTTGCTTAGAAACTGGAAACGACTCGCCTGTCAGTGTTTTCTCGTCCACGTCACATTCCCCTTCCACTACAACTCCATCAATAGGTATAGTTTCACCAGCTTTAACAGCAAGAATGCTATTCAACTTGACTTCATCAACATTTACGACTTCTCCACTTTCAGCTAAAACTGCTGTTGGAGGGACTATATTGACCAGTGATGACATAGCAGCAGTAGCCTACATAACCATAAATGTTCTCATTTATCAGAGTGCTTATCCATATACAATATCAGTGAGGAAATAAAGACACAGAGTTATGTTAGCAGACAAAACTTTCATTGGCCATCTCTATATTTTGGTAATTTTCAGTGTGCTATAAAGCTTGTAGTTAGGACTTAGGATCTAATATTTAGCATTGCTAAAAAGTAAGAAAAGATAAGCATAGGCTTATGCCGTTTATGTCAAAGAGACGAAATTCCAATACCATATTTAATCTTTGTTTGCTCCAAATAGAGCTGTGAAGTAAATTAATTTTCAGAATGAAATTTAATCCACTCATAATCCACAAGAGAGGTGCATCTTAGTCCTTTCCATTGTATATTGTTATTGAGGTAAATGAACAGAAGACAGCCTGAACTGTTTTCTGGTTTAAGTTAGAGCCTTCTAAGAACAAATTCTTTTAAATTAAGGTGATGCCTATAATGGAGAGTGGTTAATGCGGCAAGTAGAGTGTAAGAACTAATAGGCTTCTAGACTAGCAAATTTGGAAAAAAGGGTGCATATGATATCTTAGGCACATTGCACATTGCAAAGGGAGAGGAATGTGAAGTTCTATATAATACATAGTACAAGTTCACATGATAAGCACCTTATCGGGCTTCATATGGCATTACCAAGCGACAAATCTGTAAGGTCCGTGGGCAAACCACAGGGAGGAGACTTACAACTTGTTTGGATGGTTGTTCCTCGTTGTATTGTATTGTATTGTTATCCCAAAACAATGTTTGTTTTGATTGTTTCATTAAAATTGGTTGTATTGTATTGTTAAATCCATTGTTCCGGAACAATGAAAAGCCCCTTTTTTTGAAACAACCGATTTGGTGTAGTGGGATTGTTTCCTATTTTTTCTTTCCAATTATGCCCTAACTTATTACTCCATAATTCTATTTTACCCTTTATCTTTTTTCTATTTTAACTCCAAATCTCCAACTTATAACCTACTTTATTTTTTTCCAGACCAATGTTAAAGGTGTTTTGTTGCCTCCTGTTTTATTTTTTCTCCTAATTTGCTTGTAACTCAATTCTAATTAGTTGTGCTCCTTTGTTTTGCCTTTTTCTGTCTCGCTCCTTTGTTCTGCTTCCTTATTGTGTTTTGCCTTCTTTTGTTTTGTTTTTTAAAATTATTTTTATACATAATTTTGATAAATTTAATATTTAAACAATTGAGGGTATTTTAGTAAACTTATCAATTACAGTACAGTACGATACAGTCAAACCAAACAACAAAATATTATTTAACAATAACAAACAATACAATCTATCAAAACATTGTATTCATAAAACGATACGGTACAATACGATACAATACATTATAAAACGATAGGGAACAATGATTCAAAGTGAGTGTCAATTCCTATGGGGTGGTTTGTGACGCCCGTGCGTAGGGCGGACTAATGAGGCAGGTCAAGTAGAATGACTAGCAAGCTTTTGTGCTAACGAGCTTATGAAGAAGGGGTCCATATAACACCCTAGACAAATGTGACAAATCCCTATAAGACAGCACAAGTTGACATGGTAGTGCCAACAGTTTTAGGCTCGATGTGGCGTTATCCAAGAGACAAATTGATAAAGTCAGTTTGGCCAAAGTGGAAAATATGTATCGTGAGACAAATTAGGTGTTCATACTTTTGGAATCCCAATAAATAAAAAAAGCACACATTACTGTCATCCTAGGAAAGTATATGTACACTAGCCATTTCTTGTGCAAGGAAATTAAATAGGGGCGAAAATTCACAAACCTTGTGACTTGCCCTTGACTCTAGCCATTCTGCAATGGCGAATAAGAAGACAATAGTACCAGCTTCCCAATAATCGTGTAAAGCAATTGATCCAGCCACTGCACATGACAAAACCAGTTATTATAAGAATCAGCATTTCTAGCTTTAACATTATGCCCTTGTAAAATGATTGCACTAAGTTCCACTAAAATTTAATACTACCTCTTATCCATATAATTCGTCTTTTTTAAGGTTTTTTGCACATCGCTTCAAAAAGATATTTGATAGCCTCAATTACAAATACTAATAGCCTTTTGTCTATACTACCCTTTGTCTCTCCTTAATCGTCAACTATTTCGAAACAAATTCAATTTGCCAAAACAATAAGCTCTTGTTTGGCCATAAAATTTGGGTGCTTTTTTCAAGTTTTATTCTCAAATATCTGTTCGTTTACAGATTAAAATCATTTTTTGGCACATGTTGAAAAGAAAATCTTCAAATCCCAGAAACAGTTCTAGAGTAATTTTTGAAGTTTTCACAAAACTTCCCAAATACAATTTCAACTTTCAAAAATCATTTTTCATATAATCTTCAAAAACTCTTTTTTTTTTTTTTTTAAGTTTCAACCAAATCTATGTCCAAATGCTAGCTTAATATTTTGGACTGAATTTCTTATCTTCATTCATTTTACCCTTTCCAATCACTCATCTTTTCTTTTCTTCTTCTTTATTAATTTTTGGATTTTTGATTGCTGTCACTCTAAAGATGGTAAAGCAACACCAACTTGAGATTCTTGTCCTGCTAGTCCATTTTACAGCTTTCTTAGCCAATTTTATTCAAACAGGTAAATCACAAAGATAGAAATAAAGAGTCAGAGTGACCTTTTCTTCTTCAAGGAATCATATTTTGCTACTATTTTTTAAAAGATAAAGCTATAAAGTACCTAAGGATAAGTCACCTTTGTGCTTTTCACCATTTCCATACATATTTAGTTGAACTGCATTACTTGAGCTACATCAACTGGACTGCTGAATTAGCTCTTCTATTGTTTATATATGAATGCTTAAGATTGAATTTTATCAACAAAATTTTCCTGCACCAAACTGAAGCGGGCGTAGAACTATAAGGTGTCATGTTGAAATCTAGCGGAAACAAAAATCACTAAGTAAATTTTCCCATCTACTTAAGCCTTGGTCGGAACCATCATAAAAAAAATGAATAAAATTTTCCCTATCTAAAAGAGAAAAAATATTTTCCAAAACTCTTTCTCAACTTTCCCCGTCCTATTCCTCACCCTCTACCCACCCCAACCCCTGGCCCCTACCCCCACCCCGTGCCCACCTCCTGCCCCATCCCCACCCCCTAACATTGCAACTGCCACTCTTGTCCCTAGACCTCGACCTACCACCCGCCCTAGCCCTTACCTATTTCGTCTTATATAGTGTTTGCCTAAATTATATATTTTTTAAAATATTTTTGACTACCCAAACACAAAAACATATTTCGGAAAAAAAACCTTTTCCAAGGAAAACATTATACTTCATACCAAACACACCCTAATTTTTTTAGTAATAGTGGAAGTTTCCTTCTTCTATTGCCTATTCATTTCTTTGTCCAATTACTAGAATTATTTAAATGCCAAAACTTGTATCCCTAAAAATTCTTTCAAAATCTTTTGGTTCCTCACTTAATACTTTTTATTCAAATGAAAACATTAGTTAGAACTAGAGCATCTGTTGTATCTGTAGATTCTACTGCCAATAAACATCTCAGTAATTTAGAGGTAGTTTAGACGTATTTTTCAGGATATTGATGATACAGTAGAGAAATGTGGGATCAATGTATTTATGAGATAAAAAATGGGGTCACTTGATGCTATAACAAAATATAAATAATTTCACATGGAGCTTTTTTTTCTCTTTTTTAAAAAAAACAATTACAGTAACATCTCAGAGTATTTCTAGTAAATGCCTTCCGTAGTAACCATATGTTGTTGAATTAGCAAAATATCAAACATAGTCTGCTTGTTAGTTCGAGTAATTTAAAAGTAATAGTATTTGATATAAATTCTAAAAAATTTGAAAAGAAACTAACACAGCATCAAATGATAATTAAGGAACTAGGATGGATATTTTATTATGCTAGATGCAAAATTAACTGTGAGATTTTAATCTTCAAATAATATTTTATTTTATTATCAATGCAATTTAATCAAGTTTATAAATTATTGTTTTTTTTCTTGTTACGTCAACATATCAAACTTGATATAAAAAGTTGCATGATATTTTAACTAAATATAATAATTTAAAAATTATTTACGTTACTAATAAACTCAATTTTTAAACCTTGCCGTGACTGATATCACTACTTAATACTATGACAAGAAAATCTGATACCAGTCAAAGTCACCTTCTATAAAAGGGGCATGAATGCAGAAAAGTCATTTTCTGTGCAATTATTTGAGGAAAAAAAAGAGTGAAACGTTACACATTTACACATTAATGATGTGGGCTCCGTTCTTGGTGCTCTACACCTAGAAACCATTTCTGAAATATTGCGAGTTACATAAGCAATTTTGTAGTTTCCTTGCTAGACAAAATCTTGTGTAGGTTTGAAATTCCTTTTCCTATCACATCTAATTTTACCTGACACAAAATTTAAGAAATAAAAAAAAGAATTTTTAAATACGGGGTATTAAGTATTCCAGTCTGACTAGATATGAAGTTTAAAAAAAATCTTTTAAAATTTATAATTTTAAAAGCTTAAAGGATAAAAGCTTTGCGGTCGTAATATTTTTGTGAGTATAAAAGCTTTCATTATTAATCTTTTGAAAGACCCGATTAGAGCGAAATTAATAGTACGGAATATACTCCTCTGATTTGAAATTAAGGCATATTAACTTTTATTCCAAGGATTTTTTTCTATTCCCCTTTATTTACCTACGCCATGTAAATCAACAATTACAAAATATAGTTTTTTTCCCCATTTAGTGTCTGGTACTCACTTTAAAATCTACTAATTTGGGTTCTCATAAAAAATTCTACTTTAAAAGATAAAGCGCTCCATAATTAGAGTGCAGCACGAGATATCTGGATAACAATAGAGGAGTACCTATTACTCTATTATATTGTAACCTTTGGTGGTGTTTATTATCTTAACTATAGGTACAACACTAGAAGTCTATTAACTAATTGTTAAATATATGCTAGCCTTTGTATTGAGCTGATTAATTTGTATCAATAATATATGTCATACTATAATCTGTTTCCTCACTATTTCTTATACACCTTTTTTTTTTCCTCTTTCCGTGTTTGATATAATTAAACAAAAGATAATCTGTGATAGAATCACTAATTCCATCTTGAATCTGAATTAATCATCCTATTCCAATATGAAAAAGAAGTTTATTTGTGTAGTTCTAGGTCACCTGAAAATATTATAACACAAAGTATATCAAGCAGCCAATAATTGTTTTTCATGCTTTCATTATTTAAAGTCACTAGGGTGGTCCAATATTAGCATCTAACACCCAAGAATCATCCCTCCCACTCCAATCTTGTGGGTTAGTTAAAGGTGCATTGTTAAATAAAATATTTAATTGCATGCCCTATGGTGCATGCTTTTTAATGAAATAATGAATCACAAAGCATTATCAAGATTCAAGCACACATTACAAGTATCCAATTAGCTAAGACATTAAAGCAATAGACAAATCTCAATCACAAAGCTAAGTAGGACCACATATTAATTCTATAACCAAATCAATTTCAAATATTCTTATGGTAAATTACTCTCCCTGTCTCAATTTATATAGCACACTTTCCTTTTCTATCTTTTCCCAAAAAACTATCACCTTTTTATATTTAGAAGTAATTTAACTTTAAAACTATTATTTTAGCCTTAGTGAGATGATTTATAACACAAATCCCAAAGATTTATTTCTGGCCACAAATTTTAGAAGTCTTCCTTTCTTTCTTAAATTTTTTAACTTTAAAATTACTATTTTAACCTTATAGCACAAATGCCTAAGATTTACTTCGGACTATAAGTTTTAAAAGTCTTCATTTCTTTTTTAATTTTTCTATTTAAAATAGTGTCACGTAAATTGAAACGGTAGGGAGTATCTCGTTTTGCTTTCCAAAAAGTTGAAAAGTAAGAAAAGGAAAAGCAAAGTACCTGCTATTAAAACAAGAATGTTGATGTCAAGAGTAAGGTTTCGCACGGCAGCCACACCTCTAAAAATAATTGGAGGAATCCCAACTGCAACAGCTGCAAGTGCTAACCATTGAAAAGGTGCAAAAAAGTACTTCAAAAATGAGAGTCCAAGCAATATTCCACTGCCAATTGCAAATGGACTTGGCCATTTCTTTTGGTAGTTTTTCTCTCCTTTCACTTTTATGCTTGCTTCTAGTCTTGCTCGATTCAATGCTTTAACTACATCCACAAAAGAAAGATGGTAACTACAATAATTATATGGATAATACAATTGTTGTTGATTAAAAATAAAGGATTTATGTTATGTACGCACAAACAATGTAATATATGTGTATATATAGCAGAGCCGAGGGTCTCCCAGAAATAACCTCTCTACATCCTTTGGGGTAGGGGCAAGGTCTGCGTACACTCTATCCTCCCAGACCCCACTAGTGAAATTCTACTGGGTTATTGTTGTTATATATATATAACAACAATATATATATATATATATATATATATATATATATATATATATATATATATATATATATATATAAATTATCGATGCAATTTAACTGATTATAATAGGTTTTTATTCTATTTTTTAATGTTATCTTACCAATTAAACTAGCAAATAAGAGTTACTTTTGGTTGGCTAGGTCCAATTTATCTACCACTACTGTTAGGTGTGCAAGAAATGCAAAAATTGAAGTGGAAATGAGACTCTACTAAATAAAAAGGGAAAATCCCAAGAAATGAAGAAAAGAAATGATCTTTTCACACTTGAAAACTGATCATAAGAAACAGAGGTAAAAATAAATGGGAAAATAAAGTAGAGTAATTCATAAAGAAGGGAAAAAAAACAAGGAAACTACAATTACTTTGTTAGTTCCTATCAACTACTCTTCAACACAAAGTAGATGCAAAGCGACATGAGTCAAAATATTTTCTCTAACAGTTCAACAGAGATCGCCTCCATCACTAAATTATCAACAACAAGAAACTTGGATTTCTTGCCACAATTATGTAATTTGTGGGGCCAAATCATATATAACTATTCTTATAGTAGTAATTACCAATTTCAAGTAGACCATCGAATCTCAGAATTTATTCCAAAACTTAATTATAGACTATACTCCTCACCTACTCTATCCTACTGAGGGCTGGGGCGGATACGGTGTGTAAGTCAGAGGCGGAGTTAGGATTTCTAAAATATGGGTACACCACTAAAGAAAGGAGAAAACAAAGTAAGTGGAAATTGATCCATATTCCTTTGAGTAATAACTCAATATTCAATCAAACGCACAATTCATCCTTTGTGGAGCATGGGTGCCTAACAGATACTATTAGACGAATTCTAGAAAATACATACATAAAATACTTAGTTAGGCGGAGAGACTATAGGTTCATGTGCCGCATAAACTACCCTATAAATCCGTCTCCGTGTAATTATAGGTTCATCTAAACCCTACCAAATGAATTTTTAGGAGAGTCGTTTTAAAAGAGAATTTTTGTGCATGTTCTTGACTAGAATTGTCAAAAGAAAAATAGTTCATGTTTTTTCCGTCTTGGTTACGCAATCTAATAAAACTAAAATAACCACTTTAAAGATTTTCCCAAGTTAATATATACACCTAATTCTAGAAAATGCCAACAAACAGAAAGAACAGTGCTTGAAACAACTACCAGCAATATATCACATGAATAAATCTGAACCGTTTCTGATTCCATTTGTCTCCCCCTTCTTGTCTCTTCTCTTCCCTTTTTTTTTTGGCTATTTCTTAAAAGAAAAAATCACTTTACTTAAATACATAAACTTACAAAAAAGAAAGGAAATGTCAGTTAAGAAAAGATGAAGAATGGTTCTCTTTTCAGTTCGTTTTATTTTATGTGAACCTGTTTAACAAGCCACAGAACTTAAGGAAAACTTATACTATTTTTGTGTGACTATAAAACAATACTATTATTCAGGAAAAAATTTGAAGTTTAAAGTGAAATTACTTTTATGTACATAAAGGTATCGTTCTTTTCAGAACATACTAAAAAGAAAATAGTATCACGTAAAAATAGAACCGAGAGAGTAGTAATAAAGGTGTGTAACTATCTTTCTTACCAATTTGTTGCTGAGAAATGAGGAGAGAATCATGAATAACAATGACAGTCTTTGTTGTGACAATTACTGAAACCTCTTTAACCCCTTCAAGATTCTTGAGAATTTTTTCAACAAGAACAACTTCTGAAGTACAGCAAATTCCCAAAACATCAAAATAGCTCTTGCTCAGCTTCTTTGTTTCATTCATTTTCTCACTTTCCACCATTTTTCTCTTTCTATGTTTGCCCCTTCTCTAAGAAGGGGGAGGAAATAATAAATGAAAAAGGGACTCCTGCTTCTGAGATATATTGGATATACTTTTGTTTTAGAAAGAGGTGATGAGTTTCTCTTAGAAAAACATGCAGAGAATGAGTAGGTTGCAAAGCTTTGAGGGGTTTAAATAAGAGTAGCAACCCCCACCCCCCACCCACCCACCCCCACCCCAAAGGGAGAAGAAACTTTACCTTTTCTTCCTTTTCGTTTTCTCCAATTATTTTGCGCTTTGTCTTTTTTTCTTCCTTTTTCACATTATCATTAATTTAAGATACTTATAGTACATAAATTTACCGTTTAAATTTTTTGTTTTTAAGTTATATACATCGTCAGTGTAATAGTTTTTACACTGTCATGTTATCTTTGTCGGTTGTCACAAGTAACTTATCTTATATCAAGATTACGAGTCCTACATTTTAAGACGAGTAACTTGACAATATAAAAGTGTACAACTTAAAGTCATTTTTCACACTATTTATACATTTTCTATTCCTTGTGATAGACTATTTATGTTACATTTAAATTATTAATCCCTCCTGTTACGGAATAAATCGTTAGTAGATCTTTGGTTTTGTTTGTTCATTTTTCCTTTCCAAAAGCTATTAGGGTGGTGCCAAGATGGTGGTACAAACAGTTCGGAATCACTAAGAGGGAAAACATCATTTTGGATTACACACATGTAAAGCACCTAAAAAGAGAATAAGTTTAGATACTTTAAAGTAATTTGTTGGTTACTTACCAAACTTAATCTCTTACGAATATTACTAATTATTCGGTGCTCGTAAGTAAAATGAAAAAAGAAAAGCAAGGGTTTGATAGGAAAATAATTGATACCAATTTAATAAGATCCTAATTAATACTAACAATACTCTTAATTTTACATGTTTATTTATAATATAAGTAATATTTCTTGAAACAAGTACATACTATTCCAAGTGGGGTATTGTCATTGTTTTGGGTAGGAAATGCGAGTCCGGAACCAAAATGCGTTTCTTTTGTACTCAAAGAACCAAAATATATGGGGAAAAAATTTGGTGATCAAAATATATATAACGCCCTTTTAAAGGGCGCTATACCTTATCGGCCGTTTTCCCGTTAAGGTATAGCGCCCTTTTAAAATGCGCTATATGTATAAAGTCTTTTATACACATAGCGCAGGAAAAGCAGATAAATAGAATTTAATGTAGGGGATCCTTAATTGTACCAAAAGAAAAGAAGAGTGCTGGGTGGTGCAATGGTTAAAGGCTAGGTATTAAGTGGGCTTTGTCCTTGAGGTCCAAGGTTCCATTTCTCCTAGCAACATTATTTTGTTTTCCTATTTTTTTTTTATTTTTCATTAATGGATTTTAGTATTTTGATATAATTACTTTAATATTTATAATTACTTTTGAATGTAATTAAAACAATTTAATATTTTTTAGAAAATTATGATTTTTGAATTTATTTAAAGTAAAAAAAAAAGAGAGAGAAGCCTTTTACTATTTTGTTAAAAATTCTGCCGACATTTTTAATAGTTGCTATTTTGTATTATACGTAAAATAAAATTATTTTTTTCTCACTTTATTTTCAAATTAGAATTATGTGTATTATTTTATATTTAAAATTTTCGTAAGAGAATAATATATATATATAGTTTACTCTATTTCTTGAATTTTTTTTATTTTTTGATATCTTTCTTTTTAAATTTTAGTTATATGAATTTTATTAATCAAAATTCTAATTATAAATATAATAATTTTCTTATTGTTAAATATAAATTATTATAACTACTTAATCTTTAAAATTATAAATGAAGAATTATTATTATCTAAGTAATGGATTATGATTTTCATAATTCTTATCAGGATAATTAATTAAATGATTGTTTATAAACTAAATGGTTATATTACAGTTTAGTTTATGAAAATTTAGTATAGAAAAATTAATTAAATGGTTTTTCATAAATTAAATGGTTATATTTAGTTTAGTTTAGCATAATTCTTATTAGAAAATTTTAGTTTATGAGCAACCATTTAATTTGTTTTCCTAATAAGAATATAATATTTATATACCATTACTTAGCTAATAATAATCCTATTGAATTATAAGAACAACCATGTTCTTATTTAAAAAATTTAAATGGATAATACAATTACAATAGCCAAGGAATAAAAGGAGAAAAAAAAATTACATTTCAGGAAAAGTATAAAAAATGTAATTAGAATTTTGATTAATAACTAAATTTAAAAAGAAAGATATCAAAAAATGAAAAATTCAAGCAATAAATTAAACTATATATATTATTCTCTTATGAAAATTTAGCAATAAAAAAAACTCATAATTCTAATTTCAGAATAAAAGGAGAAAAAATATAATTTTGTTGTCGTATAATACAAAATAACAACTATTAAAAATGTCGGTAGATTTTTTAACGAAATAGTAAAAGGCTTCCCTTTTTTTTCTACTTTAAATGAATTCAAAAATCATAACTTTCTAATAAATATTAAATTATTTTAATTACATTGAAAAGTAATTATAAATATTAAAGTATTTATGCTCGCCGCATGATAGTTAGCGTGCGCTGCTTGGTGTTTCCATGGCGAATAGCAGAGGAAAGGGACGCGGACAGGGTCGAGAAAGGCCCAGGAAGAATCCCATAGCTATCTATGGTAGCTCTGTGGGAGCTCGAATTCAAGCTGAGGAAACTTGCTGGACAAAGAAGCTACACCAGAGGTAGTGCAATGAGCAAGCTGTGAAGCTGAATCTTCGTCGATGGGTACGAAAGTGAAGAAGAGGCTTGATCTGAGTACTCCGGTAACGGCTAGCAGCTCTGTAGAGGTGCAAATTCAGCATGCAAGCAAGGAGATTGCTGGTTCAGTCAATGGAACAGTGCAATTGGTACATGCAGCTAGTAAAGCGGTGATGATGGAGAATAACCAACCTAAAGAAGCAATTAATAAGCAAGGAAAAGCACGGACAAATCTATTTCAGAGGAATCGAGCAGTTAAAAATTGGTAAGTCTCTAGCTTACATACTTCCACAACTCATAGATGGCCAAGTTGTGGTTCAATTAGATAAAATGGAGGTAGATCTGGAAACAGAGAAATGGAAGAGTGCGGTAATAGCATACATAATTAGGGAATCTCCAGGATATAATGCTATGAAGAGGTTCATTGAGATAAATTGGGCGAATATGGTTGAGCCGGATCTGTATTTACATGAGGAAGGGTACTATATTATCAAATTTTAAACTATTGATGACATGAGAGAAATTTTCTACTCTGGACCTTACACCTTTAACAATAGACCTATTATATTGAATTCGTGGACACCAGAGTTTGATTTCAATGAGGATATTTATACAGGCAATTAGGTATGACTGAAAATCTGTATTTTGCCAGAAATGCTTAGTGGTTGGGCATAAATGTGGTTTGGAGCAACAACAATATAAGCAACAAGATAAGCAGCAAGGCAAGAGAAGAGAAACAAAGAAGTTACCATGGAATGGAGATCAAAAGGACCAATGAACGAAGCGGTTAGTCAAACTAAGCAAGCAGAGGAGACTAGCCAACAGCAGATTGAACCATAGAAGCTAGGTCAAGTAGGAGCTGAAGACACTGAGAATATACAGCCAATGGATAATCAGACAACTGTTCAGCAGGATAATATGCAGACATCCACCCAGCAACAGTGTATAGTGGAAAAACCAGTGGACAAAGGTAAAGCTATAGAGGACAGGATTGAGCTGGATATGGTAAACTTTCCAGCTTTATCAGCTATTACTATGAGGAATTCATTTGAGCCATTGAACAAGGGATCATGGTGTACTAGCAATGTACCCCCTGATAAGGGTAGAGGTAGAATGACATGCTGATGAAGTGGCTATTTTGGAATATTAGAGGGGTGAATAAGAGGTATAAAAAAAGATTTAAAAAAATACATTAGTAGCCAAAGAATAAAGTTAGCAGTTATAGTGGAAACAAGAGTTAAGGAACAAAATGCTAGTGGAATTATAAAAAAAAAATACCAGGATGGAACTATGCTACCAACTATCAAGATGCTTCAAATAGGAGGATATGGTTTAGTTGGGATTCTCAGTGGTACAACATTACAATCTTAAGTGTTGCAGATCAATTTATACACTGTTTGGTACAAGATAGGGTGGGGATAATTGACTGTGCAGTTACAACTATATATTGATACAATACTATAGAGCAAAGAAAACAGTTATGGAGTGGCTTGAAGAGCATTGCAGCAGGAATCACCAAACCATGGTTGTTATGTGGGATTTCAATGCAGTTCTATATATTAATGATAGGCTGATGGGCAGTCCTATTACTTACACAGAAGTGCAGGACTTTGCTGATTGTGTTACTACTCTGACTTTGAATGAGCTAGCATGGATAGGTGATTACTACACATGGTCTAACAAGCAATATGGTGCAGAAAGAATCAGCAGTAGGATTGACAGAGCTTTTGGCAATTATGAGTGGATGATGCAGTGGGGTCATGTGATCACTGAGTATGGATTGCCATATATATATATAGATCGGAAGAGCACA